ATATGTATAGAATTATCTATTGTGCTTTTGGAAGGAAGCACAGTTTGACAAGTGGCCGCGTGATAACTCCATTTTGTGTACGGACTTCCACGACACCTATGTGGTTATCAGGGCCATGGCGAACGTTTTCGATTCGTCCCAATCGCCACTCGGTGGGAGGGAGTGAANAACCACATTAAAGTACTGCACTAAAGAGAACCGCTGCTTCAAATACAATGATAAGATTTATGAGCAGAAGTCAGGAATGCCTATGGGTTCACCTGCTTCACCTGTCATAGCGGATATAGTTATGGAAGAACTTTTAAATGAGTTCGAAAAAGATTCGGACAGCAAACCACGGCTACTTACCAAATATGTTGATGAGTTATTTGCGATTGTAAAAACGGAAGACATAGACAAGATGCTCAACACTTTAAACAATTTTAACAAAACTTTAAAATTCACAATAGAAGTAGAAAATGAAGGACAACTACCATACTTGGACACCCTAATAATCAGAAAAGAAAATGCATTAACAGTTGAATATTTTAGGTCGCTTAGCCCCTTCGCACTCACCTTGTAATCACGCACTTCGATCTTTATACCAACACACACTTTCTTTCGACTTTAAATTTACAGAGTTTTAATTGGGTTTATATTTAGGTCTTGTAGCTTCGTTCTTCACACTTCAAAACTTACAGTTCCAAGTTGCATATACATATGTACATATCATTCAACCCGCTTATTCNCGGAACATTCGTTAAGGAATTTAACGAAGTCGCGTTCTGTTGCGCGCTGGACGCCAATGAACGTTTTTCCATTGTCGCTCATCATTTTTGAGGGGAAACTCCGTCTGCCTNTATTTATAAAATAGACTTAACATTCTCATTAATTTAAATCGCAAAAAATACTAATTTGGGAAGGGCGCGTGCGCGATGTCCGACGTTAATTGCAGAACTGACTGCTCTCTCATTTGGCCCGATGATGGGAAGCGGCCGTGCGCGCTCGTTAATCATTTTTCGAACTTCACACCGCTGCGGCCACAGGATGCGCGCGCGACCGCTGAATTGAGTTTAAGCGGCGGCTTAAACATCGTCCCCGCCCTGCAGGAATGCGTTGCTGAGCGTCTCCTGCAGCTCTTTCAGGGCGCGGATCGTGTTGCCAAGTACGCGGTGGGTGGTGCGGCCCTGGAAATTGGCCGTTTGTAGGCCTTGGGGAGTGCGCGCTATCGTCCGTTGGGCGGTCTTCTTGCGCGGCGGTTGCGGCGCCTGGTTGCGGGGGTTCTTCTGCGCCTTCTTCTGCCCACCTTTCTTCGGCGGTGCCCTCCGCTTGATGAGCTTGCATGCTGTCGATTTGGCCCGGTTGGGCTGCTGGTTTCGTTGGCCTGTGCGCGCGGGCCTGTTAACTGCCACATGCAGCAGCGTATGGTGCGCTAAGCCACAGGTCTTACAACTACCCGGCGAGTCGCATTCCCCGGTAGTGTGGGTGAGCGCAAGGCAGTTGACGCAGTAGCCTTGCGCGCGGGCTACTCCCAACCGTTGCGGCGGCTTCATCGCCTTGAAGGCCGGGCACGTCCGCAATGCGTGGTACCGGTGGCAGAGCCGGCATTGTAGGCAGTTGTCTGTCTCTGCCGTTGGAGCCAGGGGGCACGCCTTCCGTGCTGCCATGATGTCTTCGATCTGGAAGTAGAAGCAAAGGCAGAGAAACGAGAAGTACTGGGGTACAATGTTTAAACGGGAAGTTAAGACCCTTAATATACAGAAGGAAAATATGTATAGAATTATCTATTGTGCTTTTGGAAGGAAGCACAGTTTGACAAGTGGCCGCGTGATAACTCCATTTTGTGTACGGACTTCCACGACACCTATGTGGTTATCAGGGCCATGGCGAACGTTTTCGATTCGTCCCAATCGCCACTCGGTGGGAGGGAGTGAATCTTCTTTGACCACGACGATGTCGCCTGGCTGAGGATCGCTTTGTGGGGTTTTCCACTTGTATCTCTTCTGAAGATCTTTGAGGTAATCTTCTTTCCAGCGGCGACTAAATTGGTGGTGAAGTGCTTTGACTTTCTCCCACCGGTTTAGTAGAGAGAGGT